TCATTTTCTTTTTTGAGCATTTAAACATCTGGTTTGAAAACCAAAACAACAAGCTAAAAGGGCTCAAAGACTCTAAGGCAGGGGTGTCAAACTCAATTTCATCACGGGCCACATCAGCATTTTGGTTGCACTCAAAGGGCCGGTTGTAACTTTAAGACTATATGAAAATACATATGTAAATATTTAATATAAACGTATGTATTATATGACATTATTGCCTCGGCATTGGATCATTATCGGATAGGGTAATAACTTCATAATTAACTACGTCTGAAAGCAGAAGTCTAGGGCAAATCATTGGAAGTCTCTTCAGTGAGAATGTCACAAAATTATTATTTTTTAAAAGCCAAATTCTGGAAAAAAAATGAAAATGTAAAAAAAAGTGAAATTTTGAAGAAAAGTCAAATTCTGAAAAAAAGTCATATTTGAGATGCATTGTGGGACATGTAGTTAATGGGCACCGTGCTTCTGTAAATCGGCATGTGACCGTATAATAAACGTATTATATTCTTTCAGAGCTCTTGTGGGGCCACAGAAAATGAAGTCGCGGGCCGGATTTGGCCCCCGGGCCTTGAGTTTGACACCCCTGCTCTAAGGCAAGCTGATTGTAACAGCAAAGTTACTGGAAATTAATCTAACGGGTAATGAAAACACTTTGCAGATAGTTTTTTGATCCATGCTTAGTGGAGGAATATTGATCAGTGCAATGTTTCGCCTTCATGAAACTGAAAAGCTGTATTAATCGAAGCCAGAGGTATTTATAGGTAAAGACAAAACATTTGCTAAAACTGTTAACCTGAGCGTTGAGTATCACATGTTGCCATATGCTGCAATTAAAAAGCCTGTATATCTCCCCGAGCTCCTTCACAATCATGGGGTCGATGGGACCAGAATTTCTCGTTCAAAAAACCAAAACAAGAAACCAAAAGGCTCCGTTAAGCCTAATGTAACAGCAGAGTTTGGGAGATCATTATAATGGGTGATAGGTCTCTACGACAACACATCTTTCACTTGACACATAGTATTTTGACCCATGCTTAGTGAAGAAATATTAGTGGAGAAGTCTTTATTTCGCAAGACAAAAAAGCTCAAACATTTGCTAAAAGATCATCGTCCACCTGAGCGTGGAGTATCACATTTTGCCAAACGGCTCGCTGCACCCGCACTGCGAGGGGGACCCAAGTTCCCATCAGCAAAAACACGTGGGTTTGCTATCCTGGCTCCAAGATGGTGGAATGAGCTCCCCATTGACATCAGGACAGCAGAAAGCTTACACATCTTCCGGTGCAGACTGAAAACTCATCTCTTTCAACTCCACTTCGAGCGATAGAATTACTAACTAAGCACTTATATACTAACAAAGCACTTATATACTAACTAAGCACTTATATACTAACTAAGCACTTATATACTAACAAAGGACTGGCTTATCTAAAGCTAGTTGAGTAGCACTTGAAATGTTTTGGCTCTATGAAACCTGATGCACTTATATGATTCTGTTTTCTTCAAGTTTGTATCTTCTTGGTCGAATGCACTTATTGTAAGTCGCTTTGTATAAAAGCGCCAGCTAAATGTAATGAAATGTCAGGTGCAGTAATCGGCCTGCAGGTATAACAACAGACTCATTCTCAGTAGAAAGGGACGCATCAGAAAGTCTGCATATCTATACACACACACACACACACACATACACACACACACACACACACACACACACACACACACACACACACACACACACACACACACACACACACTCTATAATTTCATCAGGCTGTACAGCGTCTGGCTCTGATATCGGCGGCTGGACGGATCCTCCGAGAGCTGGAGTCTGGATTCAGGAGCTCTCTGCTTTTGTTGGAGGGGAATGAGGGAAAGATAAGCAGGGCACCAAAAATCACCCGTGGAGAATGAGGGTTGGGGTTGGGGGGGGGGGCAAGACAAAGGCTGTTAAATTTAACTGCAAAGGGCATACAGGCGCACTCCAACTCTGATTGATTCCCTCCTCAAAGTCGATGATGTTCAGCAGGTTAAGGCTTGTAAAGAGAAGCCTCTGTCTCTCACTCTGTTTCTATAGCACACACACACACACACACACACACACACACACACACACACACACACACACACACACACACACACACACACTTCTACCCAAACTGTGTTTTTATCAGATGTTGCTGCATCACATTTCAAGTGCTTTTTAAAATGAGATTCTGAACACTGAAATCTCTCGCTTTCCAAACTGAGGTCAGGACACACATTTCTTCCTTTTGTAATATATCCATGTAGGCAGATAGATAGAAGACTTTATCACAGAGAACTTTTCTCAGATACGATACATACATTTTGCTTCTCACAGCCTGCAGATTGTGATAGGAGCATTATGCAGGAGATAAAGTTTATTTATGTGTAGGAGAATACTCTTTGTTACAGCTTCCCAGATGTTTGTGCCATGTTTTTCTGGCTTTTAGTTATTTGATCTGCTGAGAGCTTTCTGTATGGATTTCTCCTCAGATTTGTGTGATTTGTGAAAGGTTTAGCCTGTCCTCTCAGTTGCAAAAGCTCCAATCGGTTTGATTTCATGCAAACCAGCTGAACATGCGTTTGTCGTTGTGAGACATTCTGGAAAATGGAAAAGTAATCAATCTGACAATGTGATTAACAAAATATACGGAGTCATCTATTAACGACAGCTCAATTTTCTAGCTACCTGATAACATCTGCCAGAAAATATTTAATTTCCTCAAACTATACGACATAAATAAGGTGCTTTTGTCTACCTTTGTGTACTCTGGGTGCATTACAGACCCACTGAATGAACATTACCAGTCATTTTGAGTGGTATATGTGTGACTATTATCATTGAAAACATTGACAAAACGTATGAACAGTAACTATGGATTGTCATTCATAAGAGTGCAGGTCTTACCAATAAGTAAATTCAAAGAGCAGCCTATGTCAAAGTGAGATCGTAACAAAGGGAAGATGGGAGGAAGGAAAGGAAGTCATAGTGTGTTTTAAAGAAAACTACTGTAAATGTGCAACAATTTGGATTTGAAGTCAATGAGGAGGCTTTTGACTTGTAGTACTTCAGGATATGTCAGGATAACTTTCGAGAAGCAACCTGTTACTTAATGTTTGCAGTCACATGCAAAGTTTATTATCTGTTTTTGCAACCTGTATATATGCATTTCAAAACAATTGTCACACCCCTGGTTTTGATAATCGGATCCTCAACGCATCGTTGTTGCATCACTACCTGGACTTCTGACAATCTGATAAAAGTCTTTGAAAACTTATGTTATTATCAGGTGTAAAGTTGGTCCACTTGTTACCTGCTGAACGCAGTCGTGCTGTGGGCGGATTGAAACACAAGTCAAGCCTCGTCTCTGTAAATAACCCTCAGTCTGACCACCTGGATTCAATTTCCAATGTTTTTATTTCCCCCGTTCCAGAGGTGACGAGATGTCACAGCCGGTTTCACACTGTCTCCCACTCCACATGCTGTCAGGAAACACAGTAAACAACTTCCTGTTACCGAGCTGCTGGACAGAAAATATACTTTTAGTCACTTTGTGCACGGCAGCAACTCCACTGAGTCTGAAGATGATCATTTGTCTTAATGCACAACTCTGAATCTATGAACTTCAGCTGGGATATTTGACGGTTAAACATCCAAATGCTTACGGATAATGTGTTGTAGTTATCAGAGGTTGAATGTAACAGAGTACATTGTACTTAAGTAAAATGTTGAGGTATTTAACTTTTATGCTACCGTATAAAAGGTACATTTTGAAGCCAACTTTGTAGTTCTTACTCCACTAAATTCATCTGACATCTTCAAATACGTTATAGATTCAGATAATGAGCTTACACAACTACGTCTAAATAAACTTTAATTACATATTATTATAGGTTAAGGTACCAAGTAGCAGTATACAAAGTGATTTAAATTAGCTTCACCTTTATCAGTTGTTATAAACACAATAATACATCAATGATAATTATCCATTCATTTAAATGAATGAATCTGAAATGGGCTATTTCAACTTCAAGTGTATTTTGACATCACTATGTAACATTCACGCTTCTATTGGTTAGCGCTCCAACACATTGTACGTGATAAGGGGGGGGACATCTCTAAGTGGTTGACCAATCACAACAGAGCCGGCCAGCTAACCAATCAGAGCAGACTGAGCTCTGGTTTCAGACAGAGGGTGAAAAGAGGTGCTGCAGCACAGGCAGTATGAGAAAAATAAAGAGCTTTTTGAACATCAAAGCATGGAGACATGTCACAGTAGAGACACTACATACTGATATACACCTGAACATCAGCAGGAGAGGACTCTTTAAAGTAGAGACACTACATACTGATATACACCTGAACATCAGCAGGAGAGGACTCTTTAAAGTAGAGACACTACATACTGATATACACCTGAACATCTGCAGGAGAGGACTCTTTAAAGTAGAGACACTACATACTGATATACACCTGAACATCAGCAGGAGAGGACTCTTTAAAGTAGAGACACTACATACTGATATACACCTGAACATCAGCAGGAGAGGACTCTTTAAAGTAGAGACACTACATACTGATATACACCTGAACATCAGCAGGAGAGGACTCTTTAAAGTAGAGGCACTACATACTGATATGAACCTGAATATCAGCAGGAGAGGACTCTTTAAAGTAGAGACACTACATACTGATATACACCTGAACATCAGCAGGAGAGGACTCTTTAAAGTAGAGACACTACATACTGATATACACCTGAACATCAGCAGGAGAGGACTCTTTAAAGTAGAGACACTACATACTGATATACACCTGGACATCAGCAGGAGAGGACTCTTTAAAGTAGAGACACTAAATACTGATATGAAACTGAAAATCAGCAAATTAGGATCCTTTAAGTAAGAATTCCGACTACTGCTTCGTTATAACCTCTTGTCTGTTATAATGTGTGTGTGTTTTTATATATTTGCAGGGAGAACGAGGTCCTGAAGGTCCAGTTGAAGAAGTACGTGGGGGCGGTGCAGATGCTGAAGAGAGAGGGCAGCCAGGGCAATGACGGTACACACACACACACACACACACACACACACACACACACACACACACACACACACACCCACACTGTGTTATTACGTCCTGATATTAGCTCTTGTATCTGTGTCCCAGTCCTTCTATTTCCCTCTCGAACAAAAACGCTTATCCATTCAAAAGGAGGTCATCGAGTTTCTTCTGAATCTCACATCGTGCATTTTCTCCGATGACTAACCTCCCTGTGACGTGTCGCTCTCTCTAGTTTTTGGGGTAGATTCGATAACTTTGACTTTGTTTCGTGTTGCCGGGGGATGTAAGCTGTGTAAAGACCGGGCGAGATAAGCCCCCGCTGTATCAAAGGCAAATAAAATGAACATGGCAGATTATGGAGGGACACATAATGGCTAATTGCATTTTGGGGGATAGAATGGAAAGCGGTTATCTGCGGCGCCCCGAGGGTTTACTTGTTTGTGAGTTTTTTTTTTTTTGGTGAGACACAGAGGTAGAGGGACGTGTAGAACTTTGTAATATCGAGTTAATGATGTTTATTTGATTAAAGAGGTCATGAGAACAAATGGCGATAAATCTTTTTAATAATGCAATATAAAACCAGCGTGGATTTGTGAGAGTGTGTTCTCATTTGTTTATCCATTTAGAAGGAAGTAAAGATCCTGTTTATTACAAAATAATAATAGTCAGGGATAAAAACGCCCGTGCGTCCGAGCTGAACATAATTGCAGCTCCTAACACTAGGATGTCCAAAGCCCTTCAATAGTGTTTTTTCTTCACAGTCTACTGTATATTTTCTACTTTTTAATGCTGTTTTAATTCTATTTTGAGATGTTTAAATTCTAGTATTGTTTATTTCTACTCTTTAATTTCTACTTATGTCCAATGCCTTGTTTTGTTGTTTTTTATGCTGCTGCAATGCAAACATTTCCCAATTTGAGATCAATAAAGTACATCCTATCTTATCTTATGCAGAGACCTTGTACATGTCCCCTCTGTGGGATGAATAAAGTGTGCAGAAAATCTAAATAAATCATAATTAAAGCTGGACGTTGGTCTGTAAACACAGGATGTCCGCGGGGTCTTAAAAAGTATTAAAAGTTGATAAATCAATTTAGCGAAAATGAAGGCTATTAAAAAGTATTAAACGGCATTTTCCAAGGTATTACATTTTGTAGCTTGTTTTCAATAAGTATATAAATTGTCCAAAGAGGTTGTATTCTACAGTCTGCCTGAATGTAATCATTGCGTAGGTGTGTAGTGTGATTCTGTGTAGTTTATTTATGGCATCCCGTTGGATTTGACGTCATCTGAACAGGACATCGCACGCTCACTGCTTGATAGCGAGCGAAGGTCCGTTTACGCCGGTTGTTAAGCAACATCGTTATGGGGAAATGCAAGTCTGCATCCAAATGGTTGGAAGATAAGGAGGAAGGACAATCAATACTGTATATAGTAAATGTGAGGTAAAGTGTGTCGCCAAGGTAACCGGTTAAAACTCAAAGTGGCGATGAGGTCTTAAAATGTATGGAAAGGGTCTTAAAAAAGGTCTTAAAAGGTATTACATTTGACTTCAGGATTCCTGCATATACCCTGGAATAATATGTATGCATGAATGACATGGCAAAGACTTTGGTGGACAACGTTATATCATCAGAATTAGGCGATTTTTACTCACTCCTCATAGCTATCTGTTGTAGTTTACTGGTAGTATATTTACTGATTCAAGGCTTACCCACTAAATGTATCCAAAGCACGAAGATGTCACACTATTTTAAGAAATACATCTTTGATTCAAAAGTTGGGGAAATTGGTGTCGAGCCTCCATCAATATGAATTATTGTTGATGATGGCCAACACGACTCAAACAAGATTCAAGCTGTAGGATATTGGACTTTACATTTCAAATCTAAATACACTACCAACATATTGCCAAAAAGTCAATATTTTCCTTAAATATTCCTTCATCAGCTGGATCACCCACTCACTAAATCATATTCATTCATTATTTTATAATATTTATTACACAAACATACAGATTCAAATTAAACAAATGTAAATACAGAAAACGGAATAAGGGACCATCCTACCCATCTTGCTGTTCCACAAATAGTATACATGATGTTTGTTTGCAATCATTTTCATTTAATCGTTTATTTGAACCGGGACAATGCACATTAATGAACATTTTAAACAAAATAATGCTTTGAAATGTAAATGAGCCGGATTTTAGCTTTGAACTAATTTCCATCTGTAGTACCGTCACCAGTTTGTAAAACAGTATTCAATGTGGGATAGAATCATGTTGTGGAGGTATGCCTTTGCAGCATCATATAAGTTCATCTAATTCACACACATTTAACAAAAAAAACCCATTTCATCATTGCACCCTGATTTGGCAATGAGCCCTCTCTGATGTTACCTCTCATTGCTTTATCTATTTTAAGTTAAAGGTCACCTATCATGCTATTTTTAGGCAATAGCATAGGTCTCAGATATATACAAATATATAAAAAACATGTCTATGAAGTGTTTTGCTCAAAATACCAAACAGATCACCCATTCTAGCCATGCCTCATATCCCTCTGTTTCACTTCCTGTTTCAAAAGTGCTGATTTGGGGTATAAAGCTTTAAAAACTAAGAATTGATAATAAAAAGGAGGGGTCTGAGCTCATGCGGGACCCGGCAGCTACCGTCTAAACTAAATACTGCCGTGATGAAACGCCATATCATGGATTATCAAGGATTATCTCTGAAACAGTATGGAGCTCAAAGGCTTTCTCTCTTGCCGGTTATACCACAAGGTGAGTTCCTTTTTATTTCCTGCTTCTTCACACACATGCTCTCCAGTACAGGTTAGCTCTGAGTGTTAGCGATGCTAATGTAAACACCGACCATATTACGTCCAAAACAGTCGGGCATTGTTTCTGATAGCAATGTTTCTGATAGGGCCGTGGGTCCACATTTCAGATATTACGTCATATCGGACGCAAATCTGGATCAGCTCCGTTGTAGCCCCGTTTTTAGAGATTTGGGTACGGAGGAAAAGAGAGAGGGCTTTATTTTCTGACGCTGCGTGAGTTCCCTGACACACCGGGGACACATATTTATGTATAAAAGACATCAGAAAGTGCATTTTGCATGATATGTCCCCTTTAAGTTCATGTCCAAGAGATTCATACATTTCCCAAAATATGACAGCAAACTTTGACAAAGAAGTTTTGTTTTTGGTTCGTTTTGTCTGTTTTCCACGAGTTATGATGGAAAAACTACCGGCGACATCCCCCGGCTCAGCTGTGTCTGATTCTCTTTTAGCCGTTTTTGTTTCACCGTCACTTATTATCTTTTTCTGGCTCTTGTTGATTTTTCTCTCTCCCATCATTTGTCCTCTTCCTCCTCCTTCACCCCTCTTGTCTTCCCCTCTCTTCCCTTCATCCCGACAGGCGTAGTAATTCCCTCTCCACAGCGGCGTCTAAATGATTTCATCCTCCCTCGCCTCTGTCTTCTCCTGCTAATGATGTGCCTCGTTCCATCACACTTTGATGTTGACTACCACAGTCTGCTGCAGCTGTGTGTACGTGTGTGTGTGTGTGTGTGTGTGTGTGTGTGTGTGAGGAGGAATAATGTGTGAGCAGTAAGAGGGAGAAAAAAACGGAAAAATATGATAATTTTATACACAACCGCTCGTTTTGCCGTGTGCTGTCAGTGTGTTTCCTGTGATTTTTTAACCCCTCTCCTGTCTAACGACGCAGACGTGATCTCTTGAACGTGATCTCTTAAACGTGATCTCTTGAACGTGATCTCTTAAACGTGATCTCTTGAACGCTCCTCAGGCGCCGTCGGCAACACTGACATCCCACAATACTCTGCTCTCCTTTCTACTGTTTTCAGAGCAGTGTAATCATTGTTGCGTTATGCCGTCTCTCTCTGTTCGTCTCGGGGATTTCCCCTCTCTACTTACACTCGTTTGTGTTGCCTTGTGTTATTTATATGTAAATTAATACTGTAAAAATGCGTATTACATGCATGAATGCCTTTAGAAAATCTGTCCCTATAGCAGATGAGCAGCATACAAATACATATCCATTAGTCGACAGTATCTGAGTACATTTACTCAAGTATTATACAACATTGAGGTCCTTTTTTTATACTTGAATATTTGTATTTCCTGTTACTTTAGAGCTGGGGTGCCCACACTTTTTCAGCTTGGGAGCTACGTCTCCAGCTTTTTTTTTTTCAATGCCATGGGATCTACCCACACTACCTTTGCGATCGACGTATTGGGCACCCCTGCTTTAGAGTAACACTACAATTCAGAGGCAAATATTTTAGTTTCTAAATTGAGTACATTTATTTGATTACTTAAGTTATTATGAAAATCCAGATTACTAAAACCAATTATATTTAATATATTTGTATATATTTATGCTTGTTGGGGGTTTCCCTCTCCTGTAGTGTGTTATATACTGTATAAGTTTTAGTGCATGTAAATCTGCAGAGGCCAAAATCCCTGTGTTCCCTCCCACACACAAATCTCTTAAATACACACATCCAAAGTTTGTATTTACCTGCTAACACACACTCACATACACTAACTTACTGGTCCACGAAATTATAATACTGCTGATAAATTATATAAACATGCACGCATATGCATATTTCTCCCTGGCGAAACTCATATCCACACATATTTGCTTACTAATGCCCCCCCCCATCACAACTGCGACCTGCTTTTCTCACATTCAACTCCCAAACACACTTTAGTTAACAAGTAATGAAAATCCACCTCCGTAATAAAACAAAACACTTAACTACACACAACAACAACAACGTTTGGATTAACTTGCTATCACACCTTCACACTTTTACACACACACACACACACACACACACACACACACACACACACACACACACACACACACACACACACACCACACACACACACACACACACACACACACACACACACACACACACACACACACACACACACACACACACACACACACACAAA